AGGCTCTTATAATTTTGAAATCTTTTCCATTGTGGCCACTGGAGGAGAAAATGACAAATGTTTATTTTCTCTTTACATCTATTATATTTTCTTCCCTCTTGTGTCCTTTTGGAATTCCCTTTCACGTAGGAGTCTCATAAAACTTAAAAGATAGAATATATTCGGCTGGTTAGCAATATTGTATCCATCCATACGGGTGGTTCTATAGATACTTAGTACGTGTTATTCTCCTTTTAGAAATCCAAATTTAGAAAACAAATAAGAAGGTCAATGCCGGCTTTCGATGGGAAGAAAGGCGATACGAGTGGTTTACTTTCAGCCAAGCCCCCCTCTCCACTATTGACTAAGCACACTGCACCACGACCTTATCATCTTCGTGCGATTACTACAGGAGTATCTTCACATACCCCTCGCATAACTGCAACAAGGCATCATGTATCTCCTAGAGCTACCGGTAAGAAGAATAGCAGCCCTGTAGCCAGGTACGAGCCTTGTTCCAAAAGTCTGGGGAATAGTTCTTGTCGTGCGGTGGAGGGCTTTTTAGGGGCTACGCCCTTACCATCATCTTCGAAGCCCCCCAACATTCTCGAGGACCTGCTGCAGTGCCTCGTTCACGTGGATGACCAGCTGTTGGATGACAGTATTGTATGCTTAGTGAAGACGGCATTGGCCCGGCTCAAACGGTGTCCGCACCCCCATCGCGGCCCGAAGTCACCTCCATGCCCCATTACCTCATCCCTACCACCACTTGAGGAGGCCGTGGTGGAGTGCCTGTGCAGGGCGTGCCGTGCCGCAACGGAGGACGCCGCCGAGGCCGTTCTCTCCGGTTTCTACTTGACACACAACACGGCGAGTTCTGGGCCTGAGGAGGCTGGGACGTGCTCGATGCCCATCTGCCCGGTGGTGGCGGCATTGGGACAGTTACGGCTGCAGAGGGTCCTGGAAGGCTCTCGGCGCAACGCAAGCGATGATATCGAGGACTGTCTGGAGTTGCTAGACGCGGTCGTGGGGCTTGGGCACCCCGGCGCGATGGTTGGCATTGCCCTCTGTCTGAAGAACGGACTAGGGGTCCCTTCGGATCTTGAAGCCGCCTTGATGTGGTTGAGCAAGGCAGCGGAGATAGGGTACGTTCCAGCAATGCACGAGCTGGGCATATTGTACGAGAAAGGGGCTGTCGCAGGGCCCGCGGTGCTGGAGGAAGACTGGGGGGAAGCAATGCTGTGGTATCGGAAGGCTGCCGTTGTTGGCCACATACCTTCCCAACTCAACCTCGGTAAACTTCTCTTATCTGCAGCTCAGCAACAAGCGGCGATGAATATAGCCAGCGCTTTGGAGATTCAGGATATGACTTCAAAGTCTCGAGAGTGGCTGGAGTGTGCCGCAGGGAGCGGCTGCAAGGAAGCAAGACGACTCCTTGAGCGTATTTAGATGGTTATTTGTGTCCTTCCCCTCCCT